GGCCTGTGTGCCGTCCAGGTGAGACCAGGTACTTCATGGTGGGGCCCAGGGATCAGTACCTTTTAAAGCTTCCCAAGTTATTCTCTGTGATGTTAGAAATCAGAATGGCAGTTTCTTTTGCGGAGGCGGGGACAGGGACGGCCGGGACACTGGGATTTCTGGAAGGGACTCTGAGAGCCCTGAAATGCTCTTGGTCATGAGCACGTGGTGGTCACACAGGAGCACTTCCCTGCGAAGATTCGTCAAGCGGTCCCCTTAAGATCTGTGCGCTTTACTGTATCTAAGTTACACGTAAATGTTTTAAGTGTATTTTAAAGACCTTGTCTATGTGATTAGAATTTGCAGTGAGAGCTGAGAACGAACGGCCTTGTCTCCCTCATGTTCACTGTAAAAGCCCAACTGGCTTTGCTGTTTCGTCTTTCAGGTCTTGCAAATCCAAACTGTGGGCAACCCCATCTATGTAAGTTTTCTCTTCACCTTCCCAGCATCTTGACAATTTCTAGAAGAATCTATGGAATCTTTCTCTTCCACCGCTCTGCATGAAAGAAAATAAAATGACACCCAATGTTAAGCTGACTCTCCCCATGAGCAATGGCCTCAGTAGAACTTTTGCCTGTTTTCGTGGATTTGGGGCTAAGCAACTGGGTGGCTTATAAGCAACAGAAATGTGTTATTTACGGTTCTGGAGTCTGGAAGCCCAAGATCAAGGCCCCGGCTGAGTCAGCATGACGTCTGGGGAGGGCCCAGCAGTGGGAGGCACATGGGGCAGGAGGACTTGGGGTGTCCAGGAGAAGGGCCCTTTAACATCGTTTCCACCTCCTTGTAGAGGGGGGTTGGGGAAACTGAGGCCCAGCGAGGTGAAGTGGCGGTTCTGGTCCGAAGATGCTTACTGAGCACCTCTGACCCCTTGGGCACTTGACATGTCCCAGGAGGAAAGTGCAGTATCCTGAGCCCCAGAGAGTAAGGCTCCTCAAAGTGGCAGAGCTGGGCCCACCGAACAGAGAAGGAATGTTTAATTGCTTAAGTGCTTGTTTAAGTGCTTAATTCGAGTGTGTTGAATACCTACCACGCGCCTGACAGAACTGTGCGCTGAGCACCTGGGGTGCCCGGGTCATACTAGGCCGGGGCTGTCCCGGGTGAAATCACATTGGAATCTGTTGGGAGGGGGTGAGGGTGGGCTCGCTGAGCGTGTGCACATACACAGGCCATGGAGGATGGGCTGTGTCCTTGCAGGTGGACAGCTGGTGGGAACTAACTGGTACATAGGTGAAGTTCGAGCAGCTGAGAGCAGGCTTGTCTCTTGCCCCAGGCTCTGGGACTGTGCCCATCAGGATCACGGGGGAGCTGGTGCAAAGCAGACCCCGGGGCCCGGTCTTCTCGAGGCTGGTTTGCAGTCTGGGATACCCCAGGAATCTGAGGCAGGAGGTCCGTGATCGCACCCAGACAGGATTCCAGTATGAAAATGTCCATAGCGGGGTTCCCCACAGCACCCCACAGACTGGATTGTCTTCCTTACCCGGGGGGGGGAATCCAACAAAAAATCTGTGAATCTTTCTCACCCCTTTGGCTGATTTTATTTTTGAGACCAATTTCCTGGAATAGGAGATGGCCTTCCTGAGGCGCCCTCCCATGGGTGAACCTTCCACTGTAACCCAGGAGGGCCAGCCCTTTCCGCTAGGGGGCGAGCTCTGCCTCAAAAATGGGAACCAGACCTCCGGCCGCAGGAATTGGCCGCCTAGAAGCCTGTCTTGCAGCACCAGGTCCTCCCTGCTCCGCGGCTGAGTGTGAGATTTGTACATTCCAGGCGAGGCTGAGCCACTTGAACATCCACAGTGTTGATGTCACAAATATCTCTGAACTTGGGAAGTATAAGTTATGAGACAAAAATTCTTAAGATGACCTTACATGCTCTTCTTAGATGTGAAAATGTCTTCAACTAGAATTTCAAACCTACAGTCACAATACCCAAAGCAGTGACCGTGAGTGCTAGTCAGCATAGCATCTTAGGTGCCGTGCCCACGACCCTCTCTCTGTGCGCTTCTCCCATCACCCACCGTCTGGCCCACCTCCCGGGTCCTCCCCTCCACCGGAGAAGGCCCAGGGCCACTCTGTGCACAGCAGCTCTCCTGGGTCCTGAATGCAGGTATTCAAGGGTTTGAGTCCTAGCTTTGCTCCTTACCAGCTGTGTGGTCTTGGGCAAGTCACCTAACCTCTTGAGCCTCAGGGCCTAACCTGAGGTTGGCCATAAAATCTGTGGTATGTGTTAAATAAGTTGATGTGTGAATTTAAAGCAGCCCAGACTAGCCTTCTGGAGGCTGAGAAAAATCAAGGGCCACGACTGAGTGTCAGCGATGTGAGTCAGGCCACCGGAACCTTCAGCCCAGTGGACCCTCCGGCTTCAGAAGGGGGTCACCCTGCAGAGGATTTCTCCAGCCAACCCTTAGACTCACAAGACATAATTAATTGTTATTTTAAGCCACTCATTTTGGGGGCAGTGTATCTCCCAGCAATAGATACTGAAATACATGCCCTTTTAATTAAACAAACCCACTTTAGGTACTTATACCAATAAGAACAGAATCCAGAAGATAGCCGACAATTTAGCTCCAAAGGTGTTCTTCGCAGCATTGTCTATGATACAAAACATCCACATGGTCTTAGGTGTCCAACACCAGGAGTTAGAATGCGGTTCATCCTTACACTGTGCAATTATTGGGATGTTTTTGGCGAAGCATTCTAGTGGCAAGGTTTCCAGAATATACTAGCAATTTGGAAAACAAAGCAACGACTCAAAGTATATATGATCCCATTAAAATATGCATATTTTAAATATATTTTAATATGAAATAGATGGGTCCAAAGACATATGCAACTTCCATTAGATGTTAAGTTGCTCTCTAAACATGATGATACAATGTATCTTTCCACCTGCTTCTCCATGGCCCAGGCCCTTCCCCCAGCCAGCGGCTGACCCATGTGAGAGGCAGGTCTGTCCACTCAGTGCTGATGTGAGTCGCAGCAAAGACACTTCCCCCTTGTCTGCACTGGACAGGCTCTCCTGGTTTCTTGGCCACCCAGAGACATCGTCCTCTGTCCCATTTGTCACCCAAACAAAGGGAGCTGGCTTACTCCTGGACCCGGAGCCCAGAGGGAAGGGCCGGGTGCAGCACTGAGAACAGTCAGCAGGAAGCCAGGCGTCACACACGGGGCTGCAGCTGGCAGCAGGGAGTGGTCCTGTGCCCGCTTGGCACACCCAAAAGGGCTCAGTGACTCGAACACAGTGATTAACTTCTCTTTAATCTCCGCCTCACTGAGCAGCGAGGCCAGCTGCTCGGCTTCCCCAGCAAGCTCTGCGTGAGTCACTGGGCGCCCCGCGGTGGCCCGAGCACGTTTCATCGCAGGCAGGTGCGACTTTGAGACACCCAGGGTGTCCCCCTCCGACACCGACTAAACATTGAACCGACAAGGCCTTATTTAAAACAAATAATATGGCTCTAGAGTCTGTCTTCTCCTGGTTAAAAATCAAAGAGACAAGTCCCGTTTGTTTCCCTTTTCCCCAGCTGTTGAATCGAAGCTGAAGGTCCCTGGGACATGGGGCATCTCCTTAAGTAAGAGGAAGTTTGTTAACTCGGGGCTTGATTGGGAAAATCATTTACCAAACCACACGGGTGCGCGCTGGGCGGGCAATCTCTGAAGTGCCGCAGAGACGGGGGCCCGGCTCTGGCCTGCTCAGCGCTTTCTTCTAATGTGGGTCACTCCTTGAACTAGGACAGCCTGCAGGTGTCCCTTTGTGTGCAGACGGACACTCAGCTCTTACCCCTTGAAAGAAAGAAGAGAAACAAAGGGCTGCCGGGGCGTGTGGAGGACCAACATCACGGACAGGAAGGCAGACCTCTCCACATGGCACACGCCTGGGCCTCCTACTCGGCTCTGTAGTCAGTTCAATTCAGTTACAATCACCCAGACCTGGACTCCCCGCCCATTCCCTACAGCGTCCTCGCTGCGTGACTTCCAGCAGGTCATCTAACTGCCCGGAGCCTCGGTTTCTCATCCTCACGGAGCCATTGTGACCATGAAACGAGGGGATGAAGTCCCCACGTTTACTCTGGGCAACAGAGTAATGGCCCAGAGAGACCCACATCCGTGTTCCCGGAACCCGTGAGGGTGTCTTCACCCGGCAAAGGGAGTTTGCGCTTGTGATCAGCTGAAGGATTTCAAGGTGGGGAGGGGACGCTGGGTTATCCAGGTGGGCCTGGTGGAATCACAGGCGTCCGTGCGAGAGAGGCAGCTGGTGTGAGAAGCAGGCGGTGAGACTGTGGAAGCGGAGATCGGGTGGCGTGGCCATGAGCCCGGGAATGCCAGCCATCGCTAGAAGGTAGAGGAGGCAAGAAACGGAGTCTCTCCTAGAGGCCTCAGGAGGAACCGGCCCCTCCCACGCCTTGGCTTCAGCCCAGTGGGACGGATTTTGGACTTCTGGCCTCCAGACGGTAAGGCGATGCATGTGTATTATTTTAGGCCTCTCAGTTTGTGGTAATTGGCTACAGCAGGCACAGGAAATGAATACAGGGTGAGAGGCAAAGAACACAGGGTGATAGGTAAAGACAAGGTCCCGCACAAATGGAGGGGTTTGCTGTCATGGAGCCGGAGCCAGGTGAGGCCCCACGCGGTGGGTGTGCCCGCTGAGCCAGCAAGGTGTTGGCCTACAGGCGTCTATTGGCATGAGCTTGTTTTCGGCGAGGGAAGGTGCCTCCACGGAGGGCTGTGGGTGGCTGTGTGCCTGGTCACCCAGATTCGAGCCTCAGTCCAGTGGAGAGAGGCTGGGACAGAGCTGGAGGGACTGTTTCCCAGGGACTGACGGCCTGCGGGTGTGAGCTGTGCTGCTCCAGGGCCTGGTGTCACGGCAGGACAGGGCAGGGGACCGGGAGGATTTGCCCCATTCTACACGTAGCCCAGCCTGGCTGCAGCTCAGCGACACTGCCTGGCAGGTTCTGGCACCCAAAGGCTGCATCTCAGGACCAGCGGCCACCTCAACCTTGACCTGGGTTAGGGCCCAGGTGGCAGAACAGAAGGTGTCACCAAGAGGTTAGGGCCAAAGACCCAACGTTTTCCCTGAAACTCCCCCAAAGAAATAATGCAACGAGCCATTATGTGTAGGGGGTGGGCGTGGGGAGGGGCAGACGCAAGCCACTGGCTTTTGGACTAATACATGCTGGTGCCAGCTCTCCGACGAGGCCTTGCCCTGGGGCCACTGCAGGGCCTGCCTGTGGGGATCCACCAACATTTCTCCCCAGGACAGTGTTCCCAAGGAGACCACAGACCCGGTCCAAGCCACCCTACGCTCCCTGTTGCTTACACACATTAACACCACCCCGACCCTGCGCCGAGGCCTTGCTCTTTCTGTCCCTCTGCCTGGAGCAGTCCCCGGACCCTCACACAGGTGGCTTATCGCTCAGGCCCCTGCCCCACGTCACCCCCTCGGGTGGCTTCCCCCAG